AATACGACATCCCCACTAAGGGGAGGAGCCTGCTAAAATATTTTAAAGTACTATTTCTATGGTAATGCAAGATCCGATTAGAAAATGGTTTTCGCTGGATGAATTTTGAGGTTTTAAGCTTTCAAATGATATATAATTTATGATGATTACTAAAACATGTAAAAGGAAACGAAAAATAATTTTTGTGACAAAGGACAGAACTCCTGTTATGATGTATATGTCTTCAGGTGCACTCTTGTCATAATGTAATCTATTACTGTTTCTACATAATTTTTTAACAACAAACAGTGGTAAAATATCTATTTAGGAGTCTTAGACCTTTCCAACGATATATAGTCTGTCATGATTAGATTAGGATTTAATTGTAATATAGTGAAGTAAACTTAAGGGGTTAAATAAATGTAGTTTCTTATCTGAATACATGTCAGTGTATCTGACTGAGGTCTTCAGGTAACAGTAAACATTCATCTTAACAGCTGATTATGTACCTGGTTGTGTAGGAGCTGCAGTTGATTTAGAGCTGGTGACTGGAGATGGTGTCTTTGTTTCGGTTGGAGCTGTAAAAGATGAAGGTTCAGATACGTCATAGACTACGATCATATTTAAATTACTGATGATTAATTGTTAATATAAATAATTTACTTGGAAACTTGACAGTATATACATAAAAATGTGCGACATCGGTCACATCACCTGGGCCCTCATTAACAGGGGACACATGTGCTGAATACATCTAAAGTAAACTCATACTAGAACAAAACCTGCTCCAGAGCCAGTTATGTTCAGATAATGGGTTGCTATGGATACATACTCTGATTGTTAATTCAGTTTTTGGAGCCAAACGTTGAATTATCTGTTTACGTATAATAATAATAATAATCTAACCCTACACATAACCTGATTTCTGGAATACCGCAGAGTTCACTTTATGATACATTTAACATAAATAGAGCTTTGCAAGAGACTTTTGAGTGTGACAGTAATATATGCACAGTTCTAAACATGCAATAAAGAATAAAACAGTATTTACTCCACATGACTCTGAGATAACAACTTAATGACTTAATGAATTTCATCAAAATAAAACTGCACATTCAAACTCCAGACACTATGTCAGAGTAATTAAACTAAATTGTTTGGATAGATGGTTGTTCACATCACACACATCTTTTATCTTATAGATCATATACAGATTTCTTTACCTGTGAGAAGTGCACAGAGAATGATCAGTCCCAGCAGACACATGTGACATTTATCAGCCATTGTCTGTTTCTGTCAGTCTTTCTTTTCATTCTATATAGTTACAGCTCTTCCTTTAAACATCATTAGCTCATCCTGTGGGTGTTAACTCCTCTGATCTCACCAACTGACCATTTAGCTGCAGTTCACTCACACTATACTGATGAAGAAAAGAAGTTTCTATAAAACATACTGTATAGCAGTTAGGTGTTTTTTGATTCTAACTTATAAAGTGACCACTGAAACACAACACTGCTATTTTCAAAAGTGCACTGAAATAAATTGATACAGTATAACTGAAGCCATTAAAAACAAACACGCTGTAAACACAGCCCAGACAGCAGACAGTTTCAGCCCAGATCCGGCCCACATCTGGCCCCCCTGGGTTTCACATGGGCCAGATTTGGGCCGGATCTGGGCCAACACTATGTTGCTGTCTCACTATACTGATGAAGAAAAGAAGTTTCTATAAAACATACTGTATAGCAGTTAGGTGTTTTTTGATTCTAACTTATAAAGAGACCACTGAAACACAACACTGCTATTTTCAAAAGTGCACTGAAATAAATTGATACAGTATAACTGAAGCCATTAAAAACAAAAACGCTGTAAACACAGCCCAGACAGCAGACAGTTTCGGCCCAGATCCGGCCCACATCTGGCCCGCATGGATTTCACATGGGCCAGAGGGGGGCCGGATCTGGGCCAACACTATGTTGCTGTCTAGGAGTGCATCTACATCAATAACTCAACCATCCACCAGCTCTCAAAACACACAAGATGACTACAAAAGCAAAAACCCAAAAAAAACAGCAATATTGTTATGTCTATTCAGGAGCTTCAAATGTTGCCTTAGTTTTTTTTTTTTTTGTGAGCTGTTGAGGTTTTGAAACTTGATACTACAGAGTGTGAGAACTCAGTTCGTTTTCCCACACTTGTTCAACCCACAGTGAACAGTCCGGTCATCTCTGATGCCAGTTTAGACTGATGGCTGTGAATTCTCACACATTCTGATACCATTTCCTCTTCAGTAACACTTTAGATTACGGCCCGCAATGTACCGCGTAATTAAACAGAATTTACAGCGTACCTATTTATAACTATAGAGTACCTCCACAGTACCTACTCGTAGGTATAAGGGAACACAATATGCAACGTTTGGGAATAAGGGGGTAATAACCTGTGAAATTATAAAGCATTTATACTGGAAGTATTTTATAACTAAAGGGCACCTATTCTGAAATGATATGGTATGTATGACACACAGATCGAAATTTTCCGCATAAGCATAACTTACAGCTATACGTGCGTGTAGGTAAATGGAAACAATGTGCAATGTTTGGGGGATAAGGGGGTAATGACTTGGAAAATTCAAAGTATTAATACTGTTAGTATTTCATAAGTAAGGTGTAACTATTCTAAGATTAGGTGGTATGCATGACCTACTGTGTTAGGCAACAATATTATGATTTAGAAGTTGCCTTTTTGTAATAACACAAAATATATGATGCAGTATATTGTTACACTACGTTGTGGGTACTTATTGTATTATTACAACATATATCTTACATGACTGATACAAATAGTAAACTGTAATATACTATAGCAGGCTATAATTGAGTAATTATGGTAAAGTTAAAAACCACCATAGTCTTCATAAAATTTGACCACAGTTTACTTAAGAATATATGCTATAGTATTTACTAGTGCTTCTTTACGTGGGATCATGGAGATTATGAAGTATGAGGAAATTATGTAAGGAGTTTCTGCTATGATTTGGTTTAGAAATTTCCGTATGACAATTTACCTGATGAAAGAACATTGATTATGATCATTTCAGCAGAGAGTCCGTCAGCAGCATTGTAACGTCGAGGTGCAATACAGTTGAAAACTATATTACCTGTTTCCAGCTGCTCCCAGGATATAACATATAAATATAACATCATAATACACAACACATGTATATTTACTGTATAATTGATGTTTTTGAGAGCTGTAGTGCTGTTGGTGCAGTTGAGCTTCCGTATGTGGTTCGAGGCAAGTAGAATGAAATGTACTACAACATTTTTCTTAACTACTATGCAAACATACACCCTTGTTATATGTAGTTACTGTGTAAGTGTAATATCTTCAGGCTGTAATTTAAAGTGATCCCTTGTTACCTTCTTGTTACGTGTAGTTACTGTGTAAGTGTAACATCCGCAGGCTGTAATTTAAAGTGATCCCTTGTTACCCTTTTGTTACGTGTAGTTACTGTGTAAGTGTAACATCCGCGGGCTGTAATTTTCAATTTTTTAATTGTAATTTTTAATTTAAAATGTTGGTTTTTTTTGTTTGTTTTTTTCAAGTCATTACCCCCTTATCCCCCAAACATTGCACATTATTTCCGTTTAGCTACACGTACGTACAGCTGTTATGCTTATGCGGAAAAATTCAATCTGTGTGTCATACATACCACATAATTTCAGAATAGGTGCCCTTTAGTTTTAAAATATTTCCAGTGTAAATGCTTTATAATTTTGCAGGTTATTACCCCCTTATTTCCCAAACGTAGCTTATTGTTCCCTTATACCTACGAGTAGGTACTGTGGAGGTACTCTACAGTTACAAATAGGTACGCTGTAAATTCTGTTTAATTACGCGGTACATTGCGGGCTGTAATCTAAAGCGTTAACTCCTCTTCTTTCTTTAAGTGATTTTCCTTTTATAATATTTTTTTTTTTGTTTTTTTTTTTCAAGTCATTACTCCCTTATCCCCCAAACATTGCACATTATTTCCGTTTAGCTACACGTACGTACAGCTGTTATGCTTATGCGGAAAAATTCAATCTGTGTGTCATACATACCACATAATTTCAGAATAGGTGCCCTTTAGTTTTAAAATATTTCCAGTGTAAATGCTTTATAATTTTGCAGGTTATTACCCCCTTATTTCCCAAACGTAGCTTATTGTTCCCTTATACCTACGAGTAGGTACTGTGGAGGTACTCTACAGTTACAAATAGGTACGCTGTAAATTCTGTTTAATTACGCGGTACATTGCGGGCTGTAATCTAAAGCGTTAACTCCTCTTCTTTCTTTAAGTGATTTTCCTTTTATAATATACTGTGCCTTTTTTCCTATAGTTGCTACAAACCATTTACGAATGACTATCTGTTACAATGGTGCAATGTACCAAATGTTTAGTTCAAGTTAGACCCAATAAAGCTAAAAGGTTGATTCAGGTTTGTTTATTAGAGTTGAAACTAAACGCTACAGTAAAGTGTCTGCCGGACCAGGAATGATGAACCTGATGTAAAGTGTGGTTCTGTGCAAGCCTACCTTGTTTGACTAATTAACTGTCAGTTTGTGCTAATTAAGAAAATCTTTAAAGGGAATTTGGTATAACGTTTATTCATCATCAGAACACAAATGAGGTGTTTTATTTTTTTATTTTTTTTTTAAGATATTATCTCATCACTTTTGTCCATCTATTGGAAGTCTAGGCAGGCTAGGCAATGGGTTTTGTGGATGCAAACCCAAAGTCTTATGAGTTTGGAACCACATGATGGTGAGTAAATTATGACAGAATTTTAATGTTTGGGTGAATTATGCCTTTAATATATTAAAGACATTACTTACAATGGCACTGAATGGAAATCTATGCAGCCAATTATATAAGGTTTATATTCCTCTACACATGATACTCTGATTGTATAATTAATGACTGTTTGACTTATTTGTGATGGTTCTTGTTCACAGAGGCGTAAAGTTGACTGCAGTCATCCAGCTGTTGCTCCGCTGATGGAAGAATAAGTCACTTCATCATCATCATGAACCTGCATGAACATCACAAATATTGTCAAACAAGATGCAAGTGTTAACCCACAAATATTACAGCATGATGTTAGAGCCTAAGAATAAAACTAATTTAGGTGTACAAACTGTTAAGAGAAAGTGGATGGCAATAGTGGGCATCGACAGAAGAACAGGGAAGTGTTTTACTCACCTCGCTCTTTTTGGCTCGGATTTTACAGTGTGTGGCAACCTCAGTATAAGTCACATCATCTTTCTGCTCCTAAACATGAATGGAAACATGGTGAAGTTATGATTGCATCAGTTGGTTCCATTATATTTATTGTTATCTGTGACATTTAAAAATAAACTATAATAATAAGTTTGTAAATATACAAACTTTTCATTCAGTTGATGCATTTATCTAACCTGACTAATAAAAGTACACATATAACTGAGACAGTCTGCCCTGGAGCAGTGATTATAGACAAAATAATAGCTAGCTAATGTATCAACCATGGGTCATTGGCTTTATGATACTTACCACAGAGTCATTAGTCCCTTTTCTGTTATCTGAAAAATAATGGGAATATTTATGATAACTCACCAACAAAAAGAATGCAAACGATGAATTATAAAAGCCTAGAAAATTCTAATGCAGATAATACATTTTCTTGTTAGTTTGTAGATTACTGTTCAATCAAGCCAAACATTTGATCACACCACATATTTAACATAGCATCTTAGCAAATTTCTGTGATGAAACTGAAACTGATGTGCCTATCTCTAAATACTTGAAGTCAGATATTTTCAAATGCTTGTCTGTTGTAATGCCTGTAAACCCCAAATACTTACCAGCTTTTTTTTTACGAACCACCCAAAGAATAACAGCAGTAATCAGAAGAGCCAATGCAGCAGCAACAACAATCCCGATCACTGCGGGATAGACTATATAGAGAGACACATTCATATTCAGATGAAAACAACAGCAGAGCATCTACTGTATATTACTGTCTTTGAAATCAAAGATATAAAAACAACTACTACTGACAGAAAAATAAAATAATAAGTAACATGATTGTTTTGGATTGTTTGGAGACTTGACATCTCATTGACATGATTAAAGAATTATGGATTGGTGGATTGGTGGTGATGTACAAGAGACATGACATTAAGTCAAAGTTGTGATCAGCTGTTCTGAAATCTCCACAGAGAAATCAGTTGTATATTTAGAGACTGATTCTAGAAGAACCCCAGAATGTGAATAAAACCACTGAAATCACTCACAAACATACAGTAACTGGCATCAGTGCTTTTGCTGATTTTATAGAGGAAGGATTTTTAGTTCAGATTCACCATATCGTGGGATTACAAATTTATAAAATGTTGTATCTAGGTTCCAATGTAATAGTATATAAACTGAGAAGAATTGGTTATCCTCTGTTTCGGCAGGGAAGTTTAGCGTAAAGTGCTAGTAATTTGTGTTATCCTCTGCTTTGCCAAGGAAGGTTAACAATAGTTGATAAATGTTAACAAGCGTACTCTCTGTTGATCAGAGAAGTTTTAGTGTTTTGATTGTGTGGTAACAAAGAAACTCACAAAATGTTTAGAAAGAATGCTAGACTGATACCCACAACTGAAAAAGATGGTCTCGCGACTCCTTTGTGGTCAGATAGCGAATACCTAAAAATATAGAGAGACTATATCCCAGAGCTTACCCTCAGCACACACACATTTTTCTGAATTTAGAAGAGAATTTATCAGCAAAATGTGTCTCTATGACATGTCGTTAGCAGAAGTCACACAGCTGATGTCACAAAGTCTAACTGAATCTGAATTCAACAGTTTTGAGTCTGCTGTTACTTCTGAACTACAACATGCCAGTAAAGGCGATTTGAGAGAAGGTGTTTTGAAAATTCTAAAGAATATCATGGGACCCAAAATAGACTGGTCCAGAATCACTAACTGTGTGCAAAGGAAAGAAGAAACTGAGTAAATACACTGAAAGGTTTTGTCAGTCAGCTGTAACTTACAGTGGAATAGTTGATGATCCTGAAAGTGTGCTAGATGACAAGGAACCCCCTAGTCCGCATCTGGTCAGATGGCCTTGTAGCCGAGTACAAAAAAGCCTTGCCATTCCTAGATCTAACTTGGTCTAACAGAACTCTCAGAAGTAACCTAGACAGGTTAGCTACATGGGAAAGAGATGCTGATGTTAAGGCAAAAGTGAGAGTAGCAGCTGCTACGTTTAACACAACGAATCAAGACAATAGATGGCCTAAAAGAGAAGGCAAATGCAACTACTGTGGAAAATTAGGACATTGGGAGAAAGAGTGTAGGAAGAAGTTGCAAGATAGTAGAAGAAATACTATGCATAATTCTGCTCCTTCTCATTCTCCACCTCCTGTTACCAAACAATATCCGATCAATAAGGAAGCTATACAGGGAATCAAACCTATTGTAGAAAAATTGCTGAAGCAAGGAGTGCTAGTTAAAACCAACAGTCCCTGTAACTCACCCATATGGCCCATCAAGAAATCCAATGGGACATGGAGACTCACAGAGAAAGAGTGTAGGAAGAAGTTGTTAGATAGTAGAAGAAATACTATGCATAATTCTGCTCCTTCTCATTCTCCACCTCCTGTTACCAAACAATATCCGATCAATAAGGAAGCTATACAGGGAATCAAACCTATTGTAGAAAAATTGCTGAAGCAAGGAGTGCTAGTTAAAACCAACAGTCCCTGTAACTCACCCATATGGCCCATCAAGAAATCCAATGGGACATGGAGACTCACCATAGACTACAGAGTAGCCAATAAACATATTGATCAAATCACCCCCCTAGTATCAGATCCATCTACAATTTGTAATGGCTTACCATTAGATTGTAAGGTTTTTTCAGTAATCAATATGTCTAATGGATTATTTTCTGTACCCTTGCACTCTGACAGCCAGACATGGTTAGCTGTCAGACGTGATTTGTGTGACCCAGAATGTCCACTTGAAGGATTGAAGACTATGCCTCGATTGCTCAGCCACTCTATGACTTGTTGAAAGGCCAGGTTAAAGATTCCGATACTGTTTGTATGGAAGAAATTCATCTCAAAGCTTTCAATGATTTGAAGAGAGCACTATGTCAAGCACCAGCATTAGGAATTGCACAATCTGATAGGCCCTTTGTGCTTTATGTCTATGGACACTTAGGCTTTATGACTGCATGTCTAATGCAAGATTATGGGGGCAGTTTACGCCCAATTCATTACTATTCTGGTAAACTTGACATAGTCGCTCAAGGTATGGGCCCATGTCTTAGAGCAGTGCAGGCAGTTCATCTAGCTATTGAGGCTTCATCAGGAATGGTGTTAGGACAGACTGTAAACGTAAGATGCCCTCATGCAGTGTCCGCACTAATGAATCAAGCAAAAGTCACTTCTGTCACTTCCTCTCGTTGGGGAAATTGGTTAACAACCCTCACAGCCCCAAACATTGTTTTACAGCGTGCGTCAGTCATGAACCCATCCTCATGTATGATGTCTGCAATGACTGAAGTTGTGTTAGAGGACGAAGGAGAAATGACTCACAATTGTGTTACGCTTACATACGCACCTACGAGTGAAGTAACAGAAACTCTCATAGAGAATGCATAATTGGAGTTGTTTGTTGATGGTTCAGCTCAAGTCATTGAAGGTAACAGACGAGCAGGTTATGCAGTCACTTCCACCACTGAAGTGGTAGCTTCAGGTCGTCTTCCAGATCATTTTTCAGCTCAAGCTGCAGAACTAGTTGCCTTAACTAGAGCATGCACGCTAGCTTCAGGATTAGTTGCAAATATCTACACTGATTCTAGGTATGCTTTTGGGGTGGTTCATGATTTCGGTGTCATTTGGCAAAGTAGACAGTTTCTAACTTCTGCTGGATCCCCCATTAAACATGCTGGATTAGTGAAAGTTCTAATGTTTGCCATGAAACTTCCAAAGAAATTAGTGGTGATCAAAGTGAAAGCACATCTCACTACTAATACTACGGAAGCTAAAGGTAATGCTCTTTCTGATGTAGCTGCTAAACAAGCTTGTTCCTATGCAACTGTACAAGTGTGTTCAGGTAGTACAGCACAGAAGACAATTCTGCCTCCTGAATCAATTATTGATCTGTACAAAGACGTTCCTCTATATGAAGCATGGACATGGTTAGACAAAGGAGCCACAGTGGATTCATCTCGCTGCTGGACCAAAGAGGGGAAGTATGTCGCTCCCGAATCACTGCTGCCATATTTGGCTCAACAAATACACAATTTGGGTCACAGTGGTCCAGCAACGATGAATCACAGGTTCTCAAATCAATGGTGGAATCCAAAATTCAGAAATGTAGCCACCGAAACAGTCAAGAGATGTGTTACATGTCAGAAAAATAATGATGTGCCAGCAGCAGCTACAGCAGCAACACATACCCCAGCTCCACCAGGACCATTTCGTCACCTGCAAGTTGATTACATATCGTTGCCTCCTTGTAAGGGAAAAACTGATGTTTTGGTAGTAATAGACAAGTTCTCGAGATGGATAGAAGCTTATCCAACAGGGCGTGCTACAGCTGCACATACTGCTAAATGTCTTGTCACTGATTTCATTCCCAGATGGGGATTACCAGATTGCATTGACTCAGACCAAGGTACACACTTCACAGGACAGGTAGTCAAGGAAGTGTCTAAAATGTTGAAGATTAAGTGGAATCTTCACTGCCCATACAGGCCACAAGCATCAGGACAGGTTGAACGAGCAAACAGAACAATCAAAACCAGGCTAAGCAAAATGCATCAGGAAGGGCCACAGTGGATTCATCCGGCTGCTGGACCAAAGGGGGAAAGTATGTCACTCCCGAATCCCTGCTGCCATATTTGGCTCGACAAATACACAATTTGGGTCACAGTGGTCCAGCAACGATGAATCACAGGTTCTCAAATCAATGGTGGAATCCAAAATTCAGAAATGTAGCCACCGAAACAGTCAAGAGATGTGTTACATGTCAGAAAAATAATGATGTGCCAGCAGCAGCTACAGCAGCAACACATAGGGCGTGCTACAGCTGCACACACTGCTAAATGTCTTGTCATTGATTTAATTGCCAGATGGGGGTTACCAGATTGCATTGACTCAGATCAAGGTACACACTTCACAGGACAGGTAGTCAAGGAAGTGTCTAAAATGTTGAAGATTAAGTGGAATCGTCACTGCCCATACAGGCCACAAGTATCAGGACAGGTTGAACGAGCAAACAGAACAATCAAAACCGGGCTAAGCAAAATGCATCAGGAAGGAGCACCATGGGTTGAAGCGCTGCCAGCGGTACTGTGTAGTATGAGAGCGTCACCTAACAGATCAGTAGGACTGAGCCCTCATGAGATTATTACTGGACGCCCAATGCAGATGCCAGGTGTGATTGATCTTAGAAATGCTGATGTACACATTGCCTCAGATGCCCTGATCACTTACTGTGAAAACCTCACAAAGGCAGCACAGAGTGCCAGAGAGATAGTTGAGTCATGTTGGCAGACTCCACCAGAAGGTGAACACACAATCATCCCAGGTCAGTGGGTCATGATAAAGTCATTCAGAAACAAGCCGTTAGAGCCTAAGTGGCACGGACCACATCAAGTGATGTTGATTACAGCAGCTGCAGTGTTGTGTCAGGGAAGGAAAACCTGGACTCATGTATCACACTGTAAAGTTGTTCCCCCACCCACAGGGATAGGATAGGACACACGGACCAGTGAGGAGCCCAGGGAAGAACCGAATGCAACAGGCTTCGGGGGCCAATCCTGGGTGAAGAATCCCTCAGAGGCCTTCCCCATCCACTAGTCCATCCTTACCTCACTGTTCTT